CCCCCCCCCCCAATTCCAGCTTTCGGTATTCACCCACCGAAGAGACAATATCTTTTATGGCCCTCACTACGAGAAAGATGGCTCCCCGAAGCATGTTCTTGAGCTCCTCCTTCGGCGTGCTTACAGACGCCTCTGTCATCTTCTTGTAGATGGCCAGCAACGAGTCTTCGCGATAGGACCATGTTTTGGAATAGGCCCCAGCAACCTGGGGAAAGTGAGGCAGGAAGGAGTGGGACGTGGCTGGAGACCAGTGCCTACACCAAACCCCAAAACTGCCCCCCCGTCACCCCAGAATGACTTGAGTGGGCAAGGGCAGATTTGCTCCTCGGTGGCCGAGTGCAGGCCTCACACCACCCAAAGGATCCTGTCCCACCTGCACACCTCTCCCCCTTCTATCAGGACAGACAAGAGGCCTCTTCCTCCCCCTCCTTTCCACTGCCTTCCTGCCTCCTCCTCTTCAAACTTTTCCCTGATTTGCTCCGCTCTCGGCTGCCTCTTTCGCAGACCCTGTCCCATCTCCCCCTCTTCCAAAAGTCAAGGTCAGGCTGCCCCTTCCTGACCCTAAACCGAGCTTCCTCCATCTTTACCAGAGCTTCCCCGAAGACGTCGATGGATGCGCTGGCCTCTCGCAGTGCCTTTTCCGTCAGAGGCTCCGGCTCACCAACTACGCCGCTTCTTGGTGTGTCACCGGGGTCCTCCTCGCTGATCTCAGGCTCCAGCAGTGTAAAGCCGTCCTCCTGCTGCTTGCGGATGGCTGGGAGGGGCCGCTCATCGTAAGGTAAGACCTCGACCTGGAACAGAACGGCCCTGCGGTCAAAGGTGGGTGGCTGGGTCACACCACGCCTCAACACGATGCCCTCCAGACTGCAGCTCCCAGAATCTCCCACCAGCCCCTTCAAGGACTTGGGCAAGCTTTGCAACAAAAGTGGGAAGGGGCCTTGTTTATAAAGAGGAGAACGGGAGGGAGGGTTTGTATCTGTGCCTGGAGATGTCAAGGTCAGGACAAATTTGTGAAAAAAGTTCTCTCATGAGAACCTGTTTGGTATTTCTCCTTTCACATGGCTACAAAAAAGTGCTCCATGAAGAAAAAGTCAAACATCTAGGAAGGCAGGCAGGCAGGCAGGCAGGCAGGCGGAAAAAACATTTCCATGAATGTTTTTGCCTTGTGTTCTCATCTCTGCCCACATCTGCTCATTCTTGGGACCTTGGTCCCTTCCCCAGGGTGAATAGTCCGGCCTTGGTTTCTCCTTGTGTCCTCCCCACCATGGCTGGAGGGTGCGCAACCAAAGAAAAGGGACCGGAGAAGCAGAAAGGGTCCTGCAGGGTGACCCAAACTTACGTTGATCTTTGGGAAAGCCTCGGCAGAGATGGGAGCTGCCTGGGCCAGCGGGGGAGAGAAGGACTGAGAGGTGGCCGGCTCAGGCGAGGGGGGCTTCTCTGGTGGCAAAGGCGCAGGACTCTCTGCTTCGGCTTTCTCCCGCCAGGGAGAAGGCAGGGGCTTCCTTTGCTGAAGGGTAGTGGTGGGGTGAGCCACAGGCTCGAGAGGCAAGTCGGGCGGCCGCCGGATCTGAGCAAATGAGAGAGGAGAGGTTTCTTCATCTGTTCATTCTTTTATGCAACAATAAGACAGCTCTGATTTACAGGCTAGGTTCAAGCTGGCTTTTTCCCTCATCGGTTTCAGCCATAGTTAATTAAATCCACAAGAAACCCCGACCTGTCCCTTCTGCTCTTTGGACAGAGTCCCCAGTGGCTTCTTTCTCTGTCCATGGTGCAAAGGGCTGCTGCCTTTCGACTCTTCTCAGGTCCCCAGAACGGTTCATTACCCATCGCAGGATTCAAGCGGGCAAGCAAAAGAAAACCAGCCTCTTTGAAACTGTTCATCTAAATGAATCACGGATCCCCCGAGGGCCTAGAAATAGCCTACAAAGACTGACCGCTCACCAGTCTTGGGAGGGAAGAACAGTTTTTAAGGTGTGGGGGGGTTTTAAGTGTGTGTGGGCGTTCCCCACGATACTAAACGGCCTGCTTCCAGCAGCAAGTGTGAACGGAGGCCTAGAGGTTCCTTTCTGGGGATTATTAATGCATGGGGATGTTCTGCTTACGGTGAGATCGGGGTCTAGGAGGTTGTGCAGCTCCAGCTGCTGGTAGACTTTGAGACGATACTCCTCCATCTGCTGCTTCTTCTGCTTGGCCAAGTCATAGTCCTCCCTCTTGACGGCGCAGCGCTTCTCTACCTCGTAGCGTCCCAGCCGCTCCCCAACCTGAAATGTGAGCCTGGAGAGGTCACCACCAAGGCCAGGAAGGGTCACTCAAGCCCCAGAGGAAGAGAAGGAGGTTCCAGGACTTTCCTTGGAAGGGATGTGACTGTTTTGGAGGGGCGGAGCTATGAGACTGAAGGATCCCTGGACTGGGTTGGTCTAGAGCAGGGGTTCGCCTCCTCTTTGGGTTCACGGCCCCCTTCTGAGCCTCACCGACCTCTGCAACCCCCTTCATAGTTGCTGTTAGCTGGAAAAAAGGTACTTAAGCATCTGCATGTTTGTTAGTTTATCTATATCATATAAAGACTGTGGCCCCCTAGAAATGGCTCCCTGGGAGGCCATATGGCCAAGTTGAGAACTAATGGTCCAGATGATCTCCAAGACCCCACAAAAGAAGGCTAAGATGGGCACAGAGGAAAATAGACATTACAGCTGTTCGCAGCTTGTTCTTTTCGAACCTTCTGTTAGGTTTTTACCTCCTTCACAGAATAGCTGGTGGCAGAGAACTGGTGTGGTTTGGGCTTAGCACTTTACATCAATCTAATGGTTGCAGATTATTTGGCAAATGTGGCTAAATAGATCATGATTTAACCCGGGGCCAAGCTTTTTGAGGCATGAGAATCACAGGTGCCCCCCAGGTCCAGCTTTTGCAGTGCCTGGTGTCCCTGCTGAAAACTGCCGACTTAAGTTTCCTGCCATTCTGAGATGAGAAATACCAAAAAAAAGGCAGCATAAGATAGTTTTAAAAATAGCAAAGGCGGCCTCTAAACTCCATCCCAGAGAGTGAGTGAGTGAGTGCCAGAGGGCGTGACAGAGAAAATGAATGATGGATTAAATGAATTCCTGCATTTTGCATCACTGCCTCGGCCATTCCAAAAAACGTAAGCGTAGGCCTGGAGTCATGAAAAAATAGCTCGCCCCTGGTTTAGTGAACCAGTCACCTCTCTTCAAAAGGACTGTTCCGTGCCCTGAGGGGAAAAATCCTTCACGGCCTTTGGAATTTCAAGAGAAGGAGGGAAGCAGCACCACAGGGCAGCCTTCGGCCTCTGCAGAGAGGCTGCGTCCCCTTCTCAGTCTCCCGTTGGAACCCTTTCCCCATCCCACTTGGCCATTACCTTCTGCAGGTCTGCGATGGCTTGCTTGAGCTTCTTGGCGTGATCATAGTGCTCCTGGTGCACCGCTTCATGTTTCTTCTCGTCCAGCTTGCGAATTATCTGGGCCACCTCGGGATCTTGGTACATGTCAAAAGCCAGGTCATCCAGGGGGGAAATTGCATCGGCCTTCCTGGAAAGGGAGAAATGCATCGGGGCGATGCTTTTACACACGCTGTGCCCTTGGCAGATGGGCATGGGTGGGGAGGGACGAAAACCCGTGGGGAGAGGCTTCACACCTCTCTGTTCTCACCCAGGGTAGCTCCCATCGAAGGCCAAGTCATCCGAATTGCTCCCTAGGTAATGGTCAATCAGCTTCTCCCTGGAAGACTTTAAAACAAAATAACGAAGCGTAAAACTTTTTGCAAGAATGGGCACAGCGCTGATGAACGACATCAAAACTTAAATATACCACCTCATCTGCTGATTCTCCAGGCGTGTGTTTAATCCCAAAAGTTCACTGAAAATGGAAGGGCTCGGTGTGCCCCCTTCGCCTCAAGGATTTTTGGAGAGCCTTTCTTAGCTCTTAGTTGATACCAGCACTCAGTCTTGCCAAAGTTAAGTTAAAAAGAGAGTACCCTGACCAAGCATGGCAGATCTTTGGGTACTGAAAATCCATCGCTGCCCAGCTTGGAGGCTGAGGCTCCCGGTGAGCCTCTTCCAACACAGATATATCGGACCTCAACTCCCATGTTCACACCAAGCACGGCCAGGTAAAAGGTCTAACGCTGGAGGTCACCAGGTCGGGGGGAAGCTGGCTGAGGCGGTCAAAGCTGGAATCCAAGCTTTTGGGGAGCAAACCTAAACTGAATGGGACCGTTTGGCGCAGAAGCCTTCTGCCTACCCCGACAGAGGCTGAGCTGCCAATGATCTCAAACAACCACTGAAACCATGCACAGCTCAAGCACTGCTCACATTCAGCCATGACAGTCAAAGCTGGTGCGACACTTCAGCCCACTGTCACCCCCTCTTCAGTCACATCAAGGCAGTGCCAGGTCCTGCTTCGTCCCAACCTGGGAGACACCATTCTGCAACATCCAGAGGGCTGTGCACCCACCACTGCCGAGTTCTCATGAATGAACAATTGAGGAGATTCTCAGCATTCTACCCCAATCTCTGGTACAGACACAGACACACACATCGCCCCCAATCCAGCTGAGCAGAAGTTAAAACTAGACTCAGAGACAACCACTTCTTCTCTTTGGGTAATCGGCTGTGAACAGGAACGACCCTTTTTGCGACTTTCTTTCCCTCCCCATAATTTCCCAGACTCACCTGGCTATCGTCGCTGCTCAGGTCCGCAGGTTCTCCAATGATATTTATTGCTACAAGAGCAACCTGAAAAAGGAGAGTGAGAAAGAGACGGCGGAGTTTCTGGCATCCCCGAAAGGTGTTTTTTAAAATGCATTTATTCAGGAAAACAAGAGAAGAATCCAATGGACAACGCAAACAGTAACTGCTGCTTTCCAGTAATTCTATTTTTAACTATCAGTGTAGGAAAGTCAACTTTTAAATTCTGTGTTAACTATTTGTATTTTTTTTTCAGGCAAGGTTGTGCACCATATAGAAAGGTGGCCATTCTAAATCAGAATATTACTCTATCAACCTCAATAATTTTTATATTGTGTTCCCTTCAGCTAGTGCTTCCAATCACGTTGGATTTCTATTTCCATAAACTCCTAGCCAACAGTGTCTTTGGCCGCGCTAGCGATGCATCTAGAGAGACCCAGTCTTCTGGGTTTCTGGAAGAAAACTTTCCCAGTTTACCCAAAGGGTAGTTACCAGAGATTAATCTTACAAGTACTTGTGTGCAAAAGACTTCTGGGAAAAGTCTTCATCAGAATCGAAGAGGTGAGAAAGGGGTTTTAATGTCAGCTGGGAAAATATTCTACGTTGTACCTAAGCAACACATTGTGTTTCCCTGTGCACAGCTCTCCTCTTCCATTTTCAGGAAAGAAATCCAGAATGAAAATTTCTTTTTTATTCAGGTCTTTCCAACCCAAGTTATTTTAAGAATAGTTTTAATTTTCCTTATGAAATTTCAAGATTCTTAAAAAATTGGTAGATGCCTCGGCTACCATTTGGGACAGAAGCCATCAAAATACAGTTGCCAGATTTTGAAAAACTAGCTGGCCTGGCAACGTTTGCCCCAGCATCCAAGCTCTCATGATGCTGAATTGAGAAGGGGAAAGACTACTGCCAAAAAAGCACCACGTCTGTGGTCAGGCAACCCCCAGCAATTCAGCTGGGTTTGCTGAAAGGAACGACCGGACCTTGCTCGAGTGCACAACTGCCTTGTAACCAACATGGGCCCTGAGAGAGATGCAGCAAAGCAAGCACACAGGAGAAGGCCTGCTGAAAAAAAGAAAGCATGGGAAATACACTCTGCAAAGCCCAGGCCGCATCCTGGGGTTGAATTCATTTTACCTGGCTGTACAAGTTGTACCTATTAACATAGTTTTTATGGAACGACAACTTCAGATATTGGCCAACCGCATCCACGTAGACTGATTTTAGTTCGCGGGCCCTGTAGCCAGTCTTTTCATTATCAGAAAGAGAGACGTAACTGCAAAAGTGGGGGAAAAAAAGAGGATTTTGTGCAGATTAACCCTGTGATATGCACATTTTACAAGTATCACGAATCCTTGGGCGCTGATGCCTGCAAGTGTCTGAGCTCAACATTTTATATTCTGAGAAAAAGATGCCTAAAATTAATCAGTGAGACAACAATGGTGTGTGTGTGTGTGTGTCTTTGATGGACCCCCACCTCTTCCACAAACAAGATGATTCTGTACAGGACACAGGGACACACCGGAAATCTCAAAGCCCTGCCATGAGACATTATTTGCTTGAAATTCTAACCCATCCTTTAATTCTCTCAAATCCCTTTTAAGCATTCCAGAGCCAAGGAGACCAAGCTGAGGGTCTGTGGCCACAGGCAGGCTCCACAAGGATTAAGGAAGCCCCCTCCCCGATATACCCAAACATGACTACTGATTTGGAATTGTGGATTTGGAAAGGAGTACACATGGGCAAGTAACCCTATGGACTATATTCGCTTAATTTAATGACAATCCAGTTTAATTTAATCAAATGCAAGGGTCTTTTTTTGGGGGGAAGGTGGCTATCAGTGTTGCTCAAAGGCCGAAGGCAGCCCTTTTCCTGAAAAGCAGGTCATCCGAGCGGGCGGGAGCATGTGCCAACAGGGAGGAGGGGTTGTATATTCAACATCTCTCCCATACTGTCCCTGCTCTTAAATTTGTATCCTGGGTTTTCAGCCAGCCGAAACCTGGGGCCGCCAGCTGTACGGAGCGAGGCTGATCTGCTTTATGTTCCTTCCTTCCTGAAGTGGCAAATATATAGAACAAGGGCAAAGTTATACCCTGGGCCCCTTCTCGGCGTCTCACTTCCACGGATACTGCTGAGCAAGAAAGCCGACTCCTCCCAAGGGCAAAACAATCCAGGAAAGCTTGTGCCCTGATTTATCTAATGCAATGGACAAACTGAGAATGTTGGCTTCATTGCCTCCTCACGCACCTGAGCGAGAAGCCAACAATAAATCCAGATTCCAATGCTGAATTTTAGGTGGAGAACGAGCCCTAAATCCTGGTGCCCATGGCAGGCTGAATTGGGGGGAGGTGAGCTTTCTGGGCTAAAGGAGGCACACAGAATTTTGAAGGCAGGTGGTGGCTGCCGTTGGGTCTCTGTTCAGGCCCATTCACCACTTTCCCTGATCTACCAGGATATTCTCCACTGGCCTCCAGATCACCTTCTGGATGGGCAGGAATCCTTCTAGACAAGCTTTGGGCTACGAGCCTCCCCCCTTTAAAAAAATTATTAAGAATGACTTGGGGGCCTGCGGGGGGCAGGCGGGCAGAGGCACACTTGAAAATAGGACCAATGTTTTCCTCTGCAGCCTGCTGGTTTCCCATTCATTTATTTTAAAGAATCTAAAATAAAATGCCAGGTAGGGCAGGGAGGCCAGTGGGTACTTTGGAGAGTCTTGCCTTGGGCTGGCACTCCTTAGCAAGGAAGAGAAGCTCAGCTTGGGCACAGCCACTCGTGCCGAATGTTCCTTTGGCAAGGCTTCTTGAGTTAAATCCGGACCCTGCCTGGCTTCTGGTGTTGATAATACTGTGTTACCCTACCTGTGTTCTTACCCCACCTCCCCTCTGAGCCTCGCCCCATTTTATCCCCAATGTAGGTTTGACTGAGAGAGAAAGAGAGGAACCAGAGTCATCCCTCAGCTTCCAACACCTGAACAACTACTTCATATTGTCGCTATTGTGTTCCTATATAATAGCCAATTGAGCATGGAGTGTCAACTAGCATTCACAAACACCTCTCTTAGCATCTGTGGCTGGTTATCTGGAGTGCACCAGGCGTTCACTTGCTCCTACAGCGGGACCGATCTTGAATCAGCTCCAGGGCCAGGCAGTTCCCATGGGCCAATTCACCACATCCCTCTGTTAGGCGACACCAGAGGAACCAAGCAGAAATACAGACACATCTCGGGAAAGAGAAAGCTCACCCCAGCCTCTGGAATCGCTCTGATTTATAGGGGGCAAAGTAGTCGGGCAGGTTTTCGCTGATATAGAATTCAATTTTGCTGGAGATCATATACTGGTGGGCCAGGAGCTGCAGTTTTCGAATTCTACACCGTTCCACCATCTGGAGGACTATTTCTTGGGGGTACTGACACAGCCTGAAAATGAAGAAAAATGGAGATCTTCAATTTCCCATGCCAGGATTGAAATGAAACAGATATTTTATTACACCCAGTGACCAGTGGAGGGAGGGAGGGAGCAGAAACATCCATATTTCTATAACCCTACCCCGTTTGTATATAGGTAAGTCAGTAAGTAAATAAATTTAACATAACTTAAAAACTGTAGCCACAGGACCCATAAACCTATAAAGCTGAAACTAAACATATAAAGCCTATGATCTACAAAGCTATCTACTTGGTTGACTGCTTTACAACCGTTGGTTAGGTGCCCTTAAAAAGATAATTAAGAATAAGGTAAGGACGGTAAAGGAACGTTATGACATACAATAGTTAAGATATGAAAATAACAAAATATAAATTTTGTCTTTCTAAGCCTGCTGATGTTTTTTGTCCATAAGGCACTGGCGCTTTTTCACAGGGCCTCGGAGAAGAATCTAGCAATTTGTGCTATTAGGGGCTATGTCCTTCAACAGTAAATGGAGGCAAAATTCAGCGGGCTGCCCTCGAAACCAGGGTTATCCTTTGGGGTCTAGCTTGCTCATAAAAGGGACAGGTTAAAGAATATGAGCCACTTATTCTATTTTCTTCTCCCTACGTGGACAGACTCTGTCTGAATAGGGAATTTTCTTGTAGCTGCCCTCCAGTGCCGCAGAGGAGAAAGCATTGGTGCGTGCCCTCAAAAAGGCCCATCTGTGTTTGTAAAAGGTGCAGTTATGTAAATACTTGGCCAAGGCACCATTAGAGGTTTCCACCAACAAAGAACAAAATTCTGGGGCTTGAACTGACTCCTTCCCAGCCAGAATTGGTTCCTTAGCACGTTTCTCATATCACCCGAGAGACAGGTAACATGGGCCACACAGGCTATCACTGCTATTTTTTCCTCTTTGAATGCCATCAGGATTCACACAAAAATGTTATATCAGACTTAATAAACTATATTAGAGCTTAATGCAGTGTGAACCCAGCCAACTTAAGCACTGGAGTATCCTGAACGTATCGCTTGAATTTCAACCTTTTCTAAATTCTGATCTCCTAATATTGGAGATAAAAGACATGTTATCAAATAAAAAAAAAAATCTCTGACTGAGAAATTATAAAAGGTTTTTTTTCCTAGCTGTTTTATCATATTTTTTTTTGGCAAAGCATTTTTTTAATGATGGACCGACAGAAGGGGTACATAAAATCAAAGCTGAGCTCCGGACTCTAGCAAGACGCTCCCAGGAGCACACGAAGTATCTAGAATTTCTTAGCGCATTACCTTGGTGACCTCCATCCGTTGACCGTTGGCGCGTGGACCATCAGTTCTTTTGCACTGAAGCCGTCCTCATGTCCAGATGAACTTATAACAATAAACCCAATCTTGTGTGGCATTCTGCCCTCTTGAGCTAATGGGTAAGAAAGAACAGCTGCTTAACAATTCTTTTTGCAAAATGGGAGATTTCTCATGATCAAAGACTGCAGTGTTTTAACCCCGTGCTCTGAATGCAAGCAACTTTCAAGTTGCTTAAGTCAAAGGTCCATCTTAAAACATTTGCATGTACTGCATTTTATTTATTTATTTATTTATTCAATCAATTTATACAGCTGTCCATCTCAACAAGTGAGTCTGGGTGGTGAATGTTAAAAGTAAAAATAAAGATAACGACAATGACAACTATAAAAATTAAAATACATGGCAGCCAAGAGAAATGCAACAAGCATTAAGACACGTAGGAGACGAGACCCTTCACACACTTGGGGCCCCAGGCCTGGGCAGATGTATTTGCATGTATTTGCCTTTGTTACATTTGCATGTAATGAATTTGCATGTATTTGAATGTACTGTATTTGCATGTAATGTAGTTACATTTACTATATTATGATTATATTTTTATCCTGCCTTTTTACATATTTTAGCCAATTTAAGGTGGCAAACGAACCTACTACTCCTGCCTCCTATTTTCCCCACCACAACAACCCTGTGAGGCGGGCTGGGCCAAGAGAGAGGGACTGGCCCAAAGTCACCCACCCGGCTTTCCCACCTAAGCGAGGCCCGGAGCTCACCGTCTCCTGGTTTCTAGCCCAGCACCTTCCCCACCTGCCTATAATACATTTGCACTTACCGTAATTCAGTGCCATCTATTGGCATGCAATGCATTTCCACGTGTTGGGTTTCCACGTACGAAGTTTGCATATAGTGTATTGGCATGCAATGCGTTGGCATGTATTTGCGTGCGTTATTTTGTGCATTGTTTGCCTGTGCTGGACTGGCATGCAATGTAGCGCACGTCCTACATTCGCATGGACTGTTAAGTGCATGGTATTGGCATGTGCTGTGTTTGCATGTACTGGATTGGCATGGGATGCATTTTCATGGACTGAGTTGGCACGCCATGTACATGTAGCGGACTGGTATGTTCCGCGCGTGCTGCGCTGGCATGCAGTGACTGGCACGCGCCGGCGCGCACCGGACCGGCGTGTTCCGCGCTGGCACGCGGGCAGCCCGGCGCAGCCCCTGCCCACCTGGAGCCGATCCGTCCGACGCGGCAGGCGGGGGCGGCCTCTTCTGCTCGCGCGTCCTTCACCAGCATGAAGAGCCTGCGGGGGCACGGCGCGCCTTTACCGGCTC